ATAGTTTAACCGGTGGGTTATTGTTAAATTTTAATTTTAATTTTATTTTATTTTTGAAGTGAAAAGGAAATAATTTTTTGAAATGTAATATATATATTTTGCTCACAAAAAATAAAGGACCATGACTTGGCATAATGGTTGTGGAGTTAAAATATTTTCTTGCCATCCAAGGTTCAACTCACGATTCCTCTAAATTTAGAGAAAAACTCCAATCCCTTCTTCGTTTTTGTTTTACAAGTTAAGGGTATAGAAGTCTCTTGACACTTTAAAATAATTAAAACTCCTTTTATTTTTATAATTTTGGTCAAAGGCCGTTTGAACAAAAAGTGTTTTATAGGTGGCCATCCCAACTCATTTCCCCTAAAAAGAAGTTATTTATTTTAAGGGTGTTCACTGCAGCAGCAACAATGGTATAAGAAAGAAACGGACTTGGCTGAGATGGAGAACAATCACAAAAAGCTACTCAAGAAGCTGAAGGAATTCAAAGGCACGTACTTGGAAGTTATACACGAGGCTATCATGTATAAATTTTGCTGGCGAAACAGAGGACGATAACTATCTCCTCCTTCATCCATATCCAAGTCGACCATCTCATTAACTAGTCTCAAACAATGGGCATATTTCAATATATTCCTTCCACACGAAAGTATGCTCAAAATGGGGCAATAAGCAGTGGCCCAAAAAATTTCCTTCAAACGACGAAAAATGTCAAATAAAAAAGAAACCAGATGATTCCTTAGTTGAAAGGCCCATTCAATGGGATGAAGTCATTTCTTGGTGCAGTAGCTAAGAAAGCTCTTACTATTGTTGTGGTGATCTCAGTTTTGAGTTTGACTGTTTTTAAGCCGAGGCTAAAGAAGCAGGATAATCAATTATCAGATTTTTGGCGCAATTTGGTTGTAAGGGACCATTGAAAAAGGAACGTCTAATATTTGTCCACTAGGGAAAGTCCCAGGGGTCAAAAATGGTGAAATATGGTGTATTGTGAAAGAGAGATTTGAAATTCCATATGAAGCAACTGTTTCTTCACCTGATGTAAACTATGGTTGTAGACGAAATCGTTTTTCCTTCTTATCGGAAGGGGGGCAAATGTCTGGAGTCATTATTTTCGTTCTTTTTGTACATCCGCCATTGGTTTGTCACTGTAAGTATTATGCTTTGGGTCCAATCGATTTAGGTTGTAAATACTTTTAAGATATTTAATGCATTTATTTTTGGCAAGATCTATTATTTATTTAAATCAATATTCTGATAAATAACATTGAATAATAGAGTCCATAGATTCAAGTTTCAGTAATTTCTTAATCACAAAAAGTTGTGATTGTGAGATACAAATTATATATGATTGGATCTTTAATAATCCATGGCAGTAAGTAATAATGAGATACGGATATCGTTATTACGGATAAACCACCACGTGTGACATTTTTTACTTGTGAAGTAAGTAGCTGATCTCACAAGCTAAAGTATGATGATACTTAAATGAACACGTTGATATTTTGTTATAGAACAAAATATTGGAGACCCGTTGAGAGATTCTACATGGATAACTACCTGAGTGTTAGTGGTTAATTTCAAACCTTCGGCAGTGGAACTGATCCTTTGACTTAAGGTTATCATGGTGCCTTATATGAGGACAATAATACTTTGACGATGCTGGATGTTGCTCTACCAAGGGCCACTAATACTATATCGTTTAGGTATGTCAAGAATTGTATGAAGGTTGTGAATGACTAATAGAGGATTCGTCACTCTTAGATAGTAAAAAATTATGATCTACATTTCAATTAAGTCAATAATGAAATCCTTGACCAATGTGTATTCAGAAGTCGAAAAGGAATTTTCGATTTATATTGACTTAATAGTGGAATGAAAGTATGATCGATAATTGGGATTGATACATTTACATATCTCTTAATTGATAGGATCATATTGAAGAAGTGATTATAATTTTACGATAAACGAACGAATTTGGTTTTGTCATATCACGTGACATTTTCCATCACATGTATTTGCACTGATACATTGCTAGATATTAATATGGGACGACGAACGTGAATTGGTGGTAAATTAAAAGTGTATTTTAATTTATCAATTTTAATTTACCAATTTTTATTAAATCACAATAATATTTCATGTCATTAGGTATCGTGATTGGAAAATTGATAGGTCGCACACAAAAGGAGAACTAGAAAATTGTCATATGTCAAATAATTAATTTAACAAGCGTTAGATAAATTAATTAATTGTGTTGCTCATTTATAGGCCCGAATAAATAAGTGACTAGGGCTTTTAATTTATAGAGAGTTTCATTCTTGTTGGCATAGGAAGGAGAAAACCCCGATTCCTTACAATCTTGTTCTCTGTGTGGAATTTTATTGGAGGCTGGATAATTGGACAGTTGTGGGTGGCAAATGAAGGCTGCTGGAACAAAGGAAAATGCAAATGAGTTTGCAGATCTAGAAAAAGATATAATTTTTATCAGAATTTCTATCTAAACACAAAGCAGATTTTTGATGGGAATTGAAATCTATTTTATTTTCCGCTACACATGATAAGTAAATTCCCAACAGTCACTAACTAGATCTTGATAATGTACTAATTTTGTTTCATATTTGTTGTTCTAATTTTAGATAAAAAAATAGATTCTTTGATCAGATCTTCAGGTTATAGAATTATCTACAGAACTTCTAAGGTTGAGCGTTCTTTGTGTTTGGTTTCCATCCATAAGCTAGTTAAGTACATAGTACAATCAATCTACATCCTTAACAACAATCATCTACTATTATCAATATTTTCTCATAAGCACGAGAGTAAGTTCTCACACACGAAGTTATCAATCTCTACTGATAAGTATGAGGGAGCTATCAATGTTTACTCATAAGTATAAGAGTAAGTTCTCGCACACAAAGTTATCCACATGACAATATATAAACTTATGAAACATCACTTGGTCTTTTAGTCTCCACTTGGTGGGTTTTGTTATTTTCTAAAGTTGTCATGAAAAATCACATGGTAGAATAATACTAATTGCTCTGTACTTTCACCAAACAGTTTTGTCACACTTACATCATGGTTGACAGCTTTGTTTACACTTTACAATGTGGTGTACAGTTTTACCATTGATTTTAACAGCACTTAAAACAATCAATACATTCGTATTTACACATCATGAAATGTTATCCATCATGTGCAAGAGTGACGTAGAATTAGCTTAATTTTTTTCATACAGTGCACCTTATTAGGACATTGCCAAACATTTTTTTCACCGTCACATTAGTTTGACGGAGTTTCTGTTAACTTGCATTGGAGAAAAAAATTTCTACTCTTACATCGTACAATTTTTAAGCAATTCATAATTGCATTGACGAAAAATTTCTACTCTTACATGGTACAGTTTTTAAGCAATTCATAATTGCATTGATGATGTTCTAATTGCAATAGATATTCGACCAATGGTATGATTATTTGAACACATTTGATCAATCAAAATACAAGACTAAACAAGACAATAAGGCTCGTTTAACATGGCTTTTGAAAAGCCATAAATAGCTTTTGAACCTGTTTGGTTAATTTTAGGAAAGTTCTTCTGGTAATTAAAAAAGTTTTTAGAGAAGGCTAGTTAAAAGTGATTTTTTCTAAAAGCACTTCTCGAATGGAAAGTTTTTTTAATAATTAGTTTTTCAAACAAAAATCAAGTTAATTACCTCCAAAAATCCTTCTCCAGGTAGCTTCCTTCATGTCAAACGGACCTAAATATTGTTCAACTAAAACCAACTTTATTAACGACAAACGCAGACAACTAATATTCATGGTTAAGCTACATCAGCTAAATTAGTTTCATCATTAGTATGAACTCACCAAATTGATTTTAATTACTAACACGATAAATATTATAAAATTGAGTGACTAAATATCGAGGGGTTAAATTTACCAACGGCTATCCAACTTTATACTTAGTATCACTATGACCACCCAATACGATTTTGTTTCATCGTGGTCACCAAACTTTATACTTAATGTCACTATGGTCATCAAATTTAATTTTATTTCATCATTATCACCCAGTTTATATAACATTTTACTATAACTATCCAATTTAATATAATGTTCCAATATGGTCACTTAACTTCTTTTTACCCTTTTCATTAATTTTAAAAGGGCTAAAACGGTAACTTTGCATTATATAAAATAAATTAATAAAAGAAATAAAAATTATTTTAATAAAATAAAACAAAATAAAAAATATTTAAAAGCATTACTTAAAAAAATAAATAAAATAGAATTAAAAACTTTTAAAAAAAGAGTTACTTAAAAAAAATAAAAAATTATTTAAAAATGAATTTAAAATAAAATATAAACTTATTTAAAAAAAATTAACGTAAAATAAAACTTAATTTAAAAAAGTTACTCAAGAAAGTAAAATAAAAGTTATTTTAATAAACATTTTAAAATAAAATCGAAACTTACTTTAAAAAAAAATGTTACTTAGAAAAGTAAAATAAAATAAAAATTATTTTATAAAAACATTTTTAAAATAAAAAGTAAATTTTTTTTTAATTTATCCTCCATATATAATGTAAAGTTATCAATTTACTCATTTTAACATTAGTGAAAATACGAAAAGAAATTGAATGATCATTGCGATATGTTATATAAAATTGGGTAGTCACGGTCAAATAAAATCAAATAGAGTGATTATGGTAACACTAATATAAAGTTGGGTAAAAATGATAAAATCAAATCAAATTAAATAATTATGGTGACATTAAATATAAAATTGAGGGACGAATTAAACCCAAATATCAAGTTTTGAAATTTAATTAAGTCATTATTGGATTCTGATTCTTCTAAAAATTCAATTTTTTTTCAAAAATTATTTTTAATAGCACATTCTTAAATAAAATAATATTATGCACAAATTCAGTAATTTTTAACGATGTAATCTCCATCAAAATAGTGTTCAAAATGTATTATTTCCCCCATCAAACAAGGGCTCAATGATGGATTGGTTATCCGCTTAAAATATGGCGAAAAACAGCACTTTGGATAAATGAACTGCCTGCAGTTTTGATGAAATTACTGACAAATATGCAATTGCCTCACTTGGCCTAAAGTTCAACGATTTCCGTGTCAATGGCATTTTCTCAATCTACTGTATTTGTGAACAATCGCCATATCTTTTCTACTCTTTTCTCTAAATTTCAACCCTATTCTTCATCGCCACCACAAATTTCGGACGATGCCCCTAGTCTCAACCGCCGTCTCAATCTTGAAACACCACCGTTCAAAGTTGCGGTGGTCCCACTTCCGTTCTCTCCTCAGTACCACCAGTAACCTCCTCAACCCGTCTCAGTTTTCCCAAATTGCCCTTGAAATCCGCAACAATCCTCGCCTTGCCCTCCGTTTCTTCCATTTCACTCTTAGTAATACTGTCTGCTGCCATTCTCTTCTATCCTATGCTACCATAATTCACATTCTTTGTCATTCCAGGCTTAAGACTAAGGCCGAAAGCTTAATTCGGTTAGCCTTTCGAAATTCCCAGAAGCCCACCAATCCAGTTCTTCAAGCCCGGCTCCCATTTTGGAAATCCTGATAAAAACTTATAGGACTTGTGGTTCTGCATCATTTGTGTTTGATTTGTTAGTAAAAGCTTGTTTAGAGTCGAAAAAGATTGACCAAGCTCTTGATATATTTAGAAAGTTGAACTCCAAGAATGTGTTTGTAAGAACTAGTACTTGTAATTCTTTGATTGAGTTGTTTTCCAAGAGTCGAGGTTGTTTTGCTGCATACGATCTGTACAGGGAAATTTTTTGTTTTAATGGTGAAAGTGGTGTTTACTATAGGAGAGGCGCAAAGGGTTTTTTTCCAAATGTGAATACGTTTAATGTGCTGATGGTTGCATTTTACAGAGAAAGATTGGTGGAGAATGTGGAGGAGTTATGGAAAAAAATGGAAAAAGTGGTTTGCAAGTCGAATTCATATGGTTATATAGTTATAGTGTTCTAATGGCCGTGTATTGTGGCAATGCGAGAATGGAGGATGCCATGAGGGTATGGGAGGAAATGCAGATTAAAGGTGTGAAGTGTGATGCAGTGGTTTACAATACACTTATTGATGGATTTTGTGGGATTGGAGAGATTGGGAGGGCCGAGGAGATCTATAGAGACATGGTAATGAATGGTTTGGAGAGTAACTGTGTTACTTTTGAGAATCTCATAAATGGATATTGTAAGATTGGGGATGCTGATTCTGCAATGTTATTGTACAAGGACATGTGAAGGGAAGGTTTTAATTTGGATAGTTTGACGGTTGATGCAGTTACTAGAGTGCTTTGTGATAAGGGCGACATTTCTCCTGCTTTGTATGTTTTGATGGTTCTATCGAGGAAACATGATGTTATTCCAAAGAAGGAGAGTTACCAAGTTTTGATAAAATGTTTTTGTCAAGAGGGGAAGATGGAAGAGGCTTTCAGGCTTCAGGCAGAGATGGTAGGGAAAGGATATGAACCTGATTCAGAGACATATGGTGCTTTTATTGATGGGTATTTGAAACAAGGGAATGAAACAATGGCTGGTAAATTGAGGAAAGAAATCCCAACAAGTAAGTTTCCTCGGAGGAGAAATAGAGATGATATCAGTTTACACCATTTGCAGCACTTTTGAGCACAGTCTGGAAAGTGCAAGCTTCTAGTTGAAGCAAAGTAAGTTGCTGGCAATCTTCTAGGAGCTTGGTCTTATATATTTTGTGTTTTATATTTTCTTTATGATGAGAGCATAATTCCTTGAATACCTGCTAACACAATATTTTTCTTGGACCCAGGACGTTTATGAATTGATTTTCACTTGACATACGGAATCTGACAGTATGCTCTTGACATTCTCAAAATGTTTATCGCTTTTATCTATCGTATTTTGCTAATGCTAGATGATTGGATGATTATCTGAACTTGAAACCAAGCCAACATTGGTACCACTTTAAGCTAATGAGATGAATGAATAAAAAGCACTAATGCCTAATCTAAGGAAGGTTATTGTATATATCGGAGACCCTAAATTGTCACGTTTCAATATTTTTTGTGCCCCACCCACTCAATGAACCTGAAAGGTAACAATAATTGCTGAATTACTCTGGTCAGGTATTCGTACTGATTCACTTTTAGTGTATATATTTTAAGGTGTATAACGAGTTCATTAAATAATATAATCCAATTCCAGCCATTATTCGTTTACCAACATAGTGTTCTATTATTTAATTGCTAGATCTACCATGAATGATAGTGTATTTGGTCAATTAAGTATTTTTGAAGCCGAAAGCGTGTGCTTGTACATAATCATTAAACCTCTATGGCTGCTGCTTATATTTATTTTGAGGTGAAATTTCTTAGTGATCTAATATAACAGTATAATGTCTAGTAGCTATGTGTTCAAATTATTTTCTTGGTTTATGAATTTGATAGTTGCCTCTGCACTAATGCTTCTCCGCCTGGATGTTTGGGGTCTGTTCAGGTGTTTTTTGCTACTAATAACTAGAGATACTGCTGCTAAAATCTGCTAAGCCTGAAATCAATGAAATATTTTTTTCCTACTTTTGTAAATTTTTATTTTGCTGGGAAGATTGTACAGCACATATTAAACTTTTCATGCGTATCAATACTCTAAATCTTCAAACATTTGCAAGTTTTCTGTTGTTCATTTCGAATTGTATCACCAACCCGTAAAACTTCTCTTGATGACAGTGCATCCTGCTTCCCATCGTAGTTGTTTTCTGCCAAATGGCATTTCGAGGGGGAACTAATTGTGTACAGACATATGGGCTTCTGGTTGGAGGATCTAGGCCATATTTATATTAAAGATTCTAAAATCCTTCGATATATTTTGAATCCAACATCTTCTGTTCTGCTAGCTGTTTTTATTGAGCTGCAGGTTTGACTCTCTCAAATATGTGGAAAGAGCCTAGATTGGTAGTGATCCTAGTGGAGCTTGTTGGTTACCAGAGGTTTCCTTGGAAGCTGAACACTTCGTCTTTGGGCTGTGTCCGTAGTTTGCATTTATATGATTTATAGTTGTACTGGGTACAATAATTTATTTGGGAACTCCATTTTTAATAAAATGAAGATGATTGAAATCAACATAGGCTCCTAAACACATTTTTATACCATAGAATGTATACCATGATCTCCAATTTTGTTGTCACTAGTATTGTTCATAATTTGCTTTTTAGCAAACAGTTCCCGGAAATGTTAACACAGAAACACTTTCATTGGTTTAATTGATGGAACTTAGTAAGAATCGGGTTGGTGATCTATATTATGTTCATCAGAGGCAGCTCTTATTGCGAGTCTGCAATTTGGACGTTTCTCACCTATTCTAGTACAACATAACAATAGGGCCCACAAGAGTGAATTAAGAACAACAGATGCAAAATATTGCTATTTTTAAACATTAGCATATAATGTAGTCTTACAATGGAATTTCCTATGGCTGGAATTCCATATTGCTTTTCAAAAGAATAAAGGGCTTCCCCTGTATGTTTTGAATGTTTTCAATGAGCTTGTTTTACTGAATGTGTAGCTTTTGGAGGGGCAAGTAAATGTATTTCCCATGTGAATTGTCTTATGTGGCTGTTCTAGCTTCTAGAATTAAAAGAAAGTACATATTACTACTTTTTACCAGGATGGGGGCCATGGGGGTCTTCATCAGAATATTTTCATTATTCAATTACAATTCCAGCGAGACTTGTGGGTTTTTGGTTGACTGCCATTGCAATTCAAGCATGTTTGTCTTCATGCCTCTTGTTGTGGGGTGAAGAGATATGGAAACATGCACCAGGATTTCTTTGACACTTAAAAACAAAATTTATTCACATTTTCGTAGTTTACTGTATAGGAATATTTTTCATAAAACTATGTGACTATGTCTGCCACATATGTACAACATCCAACTGACTACTAATTCTAGAATCCCATGTTTTTAGATGATAGAGAATTAATGTCAGAGAGCAGGAAGTAGTCAAAGATTGAAAAGAGATGAAGCCATTGAGAGAAGCCATGACAAGAATGCCATTGTAACAGATATCTGATACCTACTGCATAGCCTTTGAGGACAAAACGTTTCATCAGCTCTGAGCAGAAGATCAACAATGCTTGCGCTCGCTGCAGCTAATGTGAGAATGGACAAAACCTATTTATTGAAACAAACTTTGTTATGCTTTAAAACTAGTATCTCTGTACATGGATCAGAGAACAGGAATTACCAAGTCTCCTACAACAATGACGAGCAATATTCCCGACTGACTAATTGGGCATTTAACCAGGATGGTGTATCCATCGAGGAGTGCCAAAGTGAAACTCCAGTGTGTGACCAAGCCCATGACTGTTACCAAGAAGCTGTGATTTAACATGTGGAAACAGAAGAAACTTATTGCATTTTCCTAATGAAGACATAATGTCTGAGTCAGCAAATAATAAGTTGGCTGACCTTTCTACCCAAAACCATTAAAGGTAAAAACAACTTAGCTGTATCATACTGTTACTAGTATAAACTTTGACAAGTGAAAGAGCTTTTTATTCAGTTGCTGCCATTATATTAGCCTTATTTTGTTTGTGCATGCCGTTAAATTATATAAAAACAAGCTGTAGATTCCTATTAATTTTGTGGGACCAGATTCCCTATAGTACTTCTCTCCAGTTGTGTTGGTGTTTTATACAGTAGGTTTAGCATATTTGTTGCTCAATTGGTAAGTCTTGTGCTCAGCGCTCTTTAACCATTCAACATTAGAAATTGCAAGCTAACCTATTGCAGTGGATCATGTCGTGAAATTTACCCCTTTAGTTTTGAAATGGCCAAATGACGTATAAATCTGATGGATTTCTAATGTTTATCTTTCAGATATATTGGCGATGGATTTCTAATGTTTATCTTTCAGATATATTGGCGATCATATGGTTAAAGAACAGAAGGTAACCGCTGGCGCAGATGGGGATGTAAATCTACCTGCAAAGATGCCTATGCAGAAAGAATTGTATCAGTACTAAAATTTACCAAAAGGCTGTATAGCTGTAGAACCCAACTCGTAATGACATGAAGAAAAGAGAAGCTGAAGAGAAGATGATCTGACCAAGTCTCAGAATAAAGCTTGCCCAGGTTCCCACAGAACCCGGCACAGAATCCAGGGCCATGTGACTTGTTTCAAGGGATCTACGTCAACAGATCCACCTCAATGAAGGACGGTGATTGCCATTTTTTGTTTGCAAACTCATTAAATACTTCAAATTGAATTCTAAATCTTTCCAAACTTCGCATCAAACCCATCCCTAAGTTCTTGAACCCAGTCCACCAATCTGTGTATTCAAGAATTCTCAAGAAGTTCGTTTCTTTTCAGTCATCTTTTATAAGAATTGTATCTCTGTTTTAGTGATGATCAGACTATAAAAGAGTCGGCATGGAAAAATGGGAGATCTGTGGTAGGAGAATGTGTGCAAGTTACGTCAAGAGTACTTTTCTGTCTTGAAAATGTTATTCTTTTTGGAAGATTAGGATGCCTTAACTGTGTGCTTTAGTGGAATTTTGATTCGTGAAATGTAATGTTGTGTTGGTTGAAAATGAAGTTCAACGTGTAAAAATGGCTTTAATCATGTTGGATTTGACACTTAGATTTCCTTACCTTTTCCATTATTTTTTTAAAATAAATGGCTCTCGTTTGCTCAATGCCGATACTTTAACTATTTAAATAAATTTTCCTTTTTTGTGTTTGTGTGTATTATGGCCAGCTGCAAGAAAAGACGAGTCCTTAGTTGGGCTCCTAATCTGAGTATGACATATATAACCGGGGAATGCAATGTACTATCATGTAGCAAAAAGGAGCCCCTGAAGATATATCCCAGTGGTGCAAATGACAGAAGTGAGGTAATCTCAGCCTTGCTGGCAGTCGCAGTGTGAGTGTTCGATTTCTGAGATATGTAATTAGATTTTTTGTGAGTATCAGTGTAAGGCCAAGCTCTTGTTCCCTGGCCTATTAGAGCACGTCTCGCGATTTACTTTTCTCACGATACTCCAGCGGCGGAACGGTGGGGCCCTCAAAGTTGGGGTTCAACCTTTTTTTATCATGTAGCAAAAAGGAAGGACATGGACCATCTACCGTGGGACCTTTTTAACTAAATGGAAATTATAAAAATTAATACTTTTAAAGATTCTATTTCATAAATCATATGTGAAGTTTGCTATTTCAAAAATCAGATATTTTTATTAAATAATTAATATGTATAAAAATTAATTAATCCCGAAATCATCCCATCTCGTTTCAAGAACCCATCTTTCTCTTCACTCTCAAATCACCCCTTTCTCCACACTGCCATTGCAAATCGGACCAACAACCCACCGTCATTGTAGATTCGGCTTTTCTCCTACGAGACACACGTCAGAGGTGTGTGTGCGTGGTTGGCGACGCTATTAGGTTCCATGAAGAAGTCGTGCAACCCACATCGTTTGCAGCAAGTACCAGTACTCTTGTTATGGCAACGCCTTAGGGAAATTAGGTTTGGGCGTTGGTGTTGGTGACATAGCTACAATAGTCTAGTTGTGACGGTCGTGGTGCTTTCTCCATGTTCTAGGCAATGGATCATCTTAGTCGAGGCAATGCAGTCTTGGAGAAATTAGGTTTGGGTGTTGGTGACGCGGCTGCAATAGTCCCAATCTGTGATTGTGACGGTTGTGGTGTTGTTGTCGAGGGCTGGTGGTAGTGGTTTTGGCGACTGTGGCAGTGTGCGTGCGGCTATGTTGTTGGTGATGGTAGTGTTGGTTACGCAGCTGCAATAGTCCCGAACTGTGCTTGTGACCATTGTGGTGCTGTTGAGGGGTGGTGGTGGTGGTTTTATCGACTGGCTGTGTGTGTGCACGACTGTGTTGCCGTGGGTCCGATTGTGGTGTTGTAGGTGCAATGGTAGTGCAATGATTGGGTTGTGGTACTGTGGGTGCGATGGTAGTGGTGGTGTTCGAAATAGTGGTGAGATGGTGGTCGCAAGTATCGAGTAGTGGTTGCAAATTATTTGGTTGACTGTGACCATTAAATTGATCAATCTGTGATCAATAAGTAATATGTGACCAATAAAAAATATAAAATGGATTAAGAAATAATGCGTGACATAAAATTTTTTTAATTTGTGATCGATAATTTGATAATTCGTAACTGTATAAGTTATGACTTATAATATTCGTGATTTGTGATTAATAAATAAATCGTGACTTATAATTTTTTTTTATTTGTGACGATGAACAAACTGTGACCTATAAAATTTTCAAATTGTGATTGTAAAATAATTTGTAAAATCAAAATTTTGATTTGTGACCAAAAAAATAATAACTAACTAACTAACTAAATCAATAATAGTAACCAAATTATATAGATATGTTACCTAAATATTTTTAAACAATAAATTAATTAATTAAATCATAAATAAATTTTAATAAAAATCGGATTTTTGAAATTTAAAACTTGTTTTCTTGATTTTGAAATGTATGGTACTTATGAAAATTTCCATTTTAACTAATAAGTTCCTATAGTGATTTGGCTAGGCGAATTGTACAATACTAAATTGTATCGAAATTACATACTAAGCCCCTGTTTGTTTTCAATTTTTCTGCCCAATTTTAATTCATTTTTGGATTGTTGCTCCACTGTCAGTCGTGATTGTTGACTTCTTCTCTCACAATGGGTCCCATGTGATGGTAAAAAAGGATAAAAAAATGTATTATTTTCTTCAAACAATTGAAAACAAACAGGGGCTAAGCTTGTTGGATGCTTTTCAAAAGGAGATCTTGGTGATAAAACGTGTAAGGATTTCATGGCCTATTTAATATCTCGACGATCATTGCATTTTTAAAGTGTTCATATATTCATATTCTCTCTCTCTTTCTTGAGGAAATGTTTAAAAAAGACATTAAGTCCCTATTTAGTTTTCTTAAAAATCGTATTTTAGTTGATTTTAATAAAAGTCAATGATATTTAAAGTTAAAAAATTGATAAAAGTTATGAATCTTATGAAATGTGTTAAAATTAATATTAATATTAATCTCATTAATTTTTTTTAGCTAAATCAAATAGGAACTAAATCTGAAGATAATTTTTCTATTATGTTCAAACTTGTTCTGTTAACGGTGTTCAATTATACTGCACAAGGAAATTCAGGAGCAAAAGGAGTTCTCGAACCTGCAACCTTCAAATTAGCACGACTTTCTAACCAACAGAACTAATAGACCATATTGATAGAATTTTGTTTTATATAATATATATTTAAGAATACAATCTGCTTTCCGCTTGGTGCTAGAAAAATGAAAATTGTATTGACATTGTCTACCATATCCACATGTAAAACACGTTTTCCCTACTATATAAAAAGGGGAATGTAAGGGCACTGTAAAAAGTAACAGTGTCTTGATCCATCTTTACTGTAGCATTTTTGTTTTGTTTTTTTCTAATTGGGGGCAAAAAACGACGACGTTTGCTTGATATATATTTTATTTTATTATACACTACCTCCAAATTTACTGCAACATGCAATTTTCATTCCCCCCACTCTGATATAGATATATATAGTAAGGATATAAGAAAAAAAATCACTTTTATATATATATATAAAAAGATTGAGATAATATGCGATAGAAATTTTTTTACAACATATTACTTGTAAGTAAAAAATTTGAGGAGAAAAGAATTAAAGAGAATTTTAAATTGAAAAAAAAAATTATAACGTAAAACTATACAGCAAAAAAAAAATCTCTCGGCATAGTATTACACATCGTTAACGGTGTGTGAAACGGTCAATCATAGCAAATGTTATGGGACGTCAAAGTAGGCATTTTCAAACTATATTTCGAAATTTTTGATAACAAGCTAATTTTAAAAATTCATCGACGATTTTACGATAGTCGAATCGATAAATGTTTTACATTCTCTCGAAACTCATTTTGAGAACTATATTGTAGAGACATCGAATGATCTAAATATATATCAAAAATAGTTAAACGGACATTAAACGTATGTATTAAAAAATACTCATAAGTCATTTTTTCTTAAAAAATGAATTATTTTATTACTATTTCGAAATTTTCGATAACAAGCTAACTTTAAAAATTCGTCGACGATTGTACGTTAGTCGAATCGATAAATGTTTTACATTCTCTCGAAACTCATTTTGAGAACTATATCGTAGAGATATCAGATGATCTAAATAAATATCGAAAATAGTTAAACGGAGATTAAACATATGTGTTAAAAATGCGTATACTTGTTTTTCTTTAAAAAATTAATTATTTTATTACTATTTATTCTTTTTTTGCAACAATTTTCTCAATGCATCATTTTGTTAAAAAAAAATTGTGTGGTATGACGAAATTTTTTTCTCCATGTACGGAGTGAATATTTTTTTTCATCATTTTATATATTGAATTATTACTAGAAAATTAAATTTTATCACAAACTATTAAAAAATACTGATTAATAATAAAAAATTTGAAGAAAAAAATTAAAAAAAATTCTAAATTGAAAAAACTTTTATTTATGACGTAAAACTACACAAAAAAAATTCTCAAATCTAAGTTTCTGTTTGGAATTATTAAGAGAAAAGAATTATAAATTGAAAAAAAAAATTATAATGTGAACAACAAAAAATAAAATTCTTTTTGATTCTTTTTTCTTCAAATTTTTTACTTAAAAGTAACTTTTTGTAAAATATTTTTTAATTTTTTTTATATAAAAGTAATTTTTTCTTATATCCCTACTATATAAAAAAGGGAATGTGAGGGCACTGTAGAAATCAACAGTGTTTTGATCCATCTTTACTGTAGCATTTTTGTTTTGTTTTGTTTTTTTTTTCAATTGGGGGTCAAAAACGACGCTGTTTTGCTTGATGTATATTTTATTTTATTGTACATTACCTCTAAACTTACTGCAACACGCAATTTCCATTCTTCCTCCACTCCGATATAGATATATATAGTAGGAATATAAGAAAAATATTACTTATATATATAAAAAATAAAGATAAAGATAATATGCGACATAATTTTTTTTATAACATATTACTTGTAAGTAAAAAATTTGAAGAGAAAAGAATTAAAGAAAATTTTAAATTGAAAAAAAAATTATAACGTAAAATTACACAGAAAAAAAAATTAGCTGAAACCTCCGTACACGGAGGTAGATGTCTCCATGCACGGAGATAGACTCTCCATGCATGGAGATAAAGTTTATAATTTTTTTTTTATTTTTTTATAAGTAATTGTTCTTTTTATCAATTTATTTAAATTTCTTTTTTATTCTTTTCTCTTATAAATAAAACTTAAATTTTCAATTTTAACAAAATAATATTTATATATATAATTTTAAATTTTTGTAATTTTTTTTATTTTATTTATTTTGTATTTTTTTAAAAATTATTTAAAATTTTATTTTTTTCCAAGTGGGGAGAAAAAACTACGCCCGTGCATAAAGTGCATCGATTTTTTTTGTTGTTTTTTTTTTTTTGGCCTCCGTGCACGGACTCTTCGTTTATATATATATATATATATATATAACTTCTTATAAAAAGGGGAATGAGGGTCTATTAATCCAATTTTACTATGCATGATATCATTTTTT